TGGTCTGGTGTTTTGTACTAGGTCCTGACGTGTGAGTTTTTGGTTGTGGATGCGGGCACAGTGTTCTTTGATGGCTCCATTTTGTAAGTGCATTGTTAGGCGTCTTGACAGGGTTGTGGTAGTCATTCCGATGTAGGAGGCGTATATGTATTATATATATATACACACACGTTCAATATTTCATAGTGTCAAATGTGCATGTGTATTTCTCCTTTGTGGAGCGTCAGTGACGCGAGTCTGTCAGGAAAAGCTTCCCCAAATTTTAAGTGAGCGCCACCTGTTATTTCCTTTTGTTTATGCGATTCTCTAAATTAGTGATGTGAAATTTCATCATGTGAATACCATGCTTTGTGGTAACAGTAATTAATATCTTGAAGCGTCCATTCGACTGTTCTACAAATCAAAATAAGTGAGAAAACAACTTTTAATATTGAATACTAAACTGTATTATTGACCATTATGAAATTACATTTATTTATTCTATTTGAAAATATCAATAACGTATGAAAATAGCCTAACAGTGATACGTTATTAATGTGGTTTATTCTTGATCAAACACAATAAACTTCAATAATTTATTTTTTGTTTTACTGCTGAGTTGAATTAAATGTATAAATGTTATCCTTTCACCTAGCTATGATATTGTTTATGAAATAATCCTTCCTGTAAAGCTTTTTGTAATAATTCTGTACAATGGGTCTGTAGTGATAATTTTGTTTGGTGAAGTGCTTATATTATTACTACCTTACAGGTTATGGCAATAATAATTATGGCCAGAATCGTGGTTCGAAAACAGTCATGTCAGTTATCCCATCCAATAAACACTTAAGGATAACTTTGCCACATAAACTGGAGAGAGTAGAGTACCTCCAAGAAACAAGCCTGTGGATACAGACTGCTTTTAGATATGTCATGGTTATAATTATTCCTAGTAAAAACATGGCTACTTGTAACCTTCTGGATAAGCCTGTAATCTCGTAGGACAAATACTCTGTATTAAACTTCTCTAATGAATATAATCCTGACGTTAAATGATAAAAATCAGATATTAAACCAACAACTTTTCATCCTAGAGTTACTGATATCTGATAATAGTTTACTGTAGATTTACTTCTTCTTCTTCTTCTTCGGCTCTGTTCTTTAGCAGAGGTCGTCCTTCTCCAGTCAAGTTTGTTCATTATTAGGTCTTCTGCAATTCTTTTCTCGTTCATGTCTTTTTTTAGTCCCATACTTCCAACGCGCTACTAGCCTTCCCTGTTTTCTCTTGTTGGTTACTGGCAGCTCTAATGCTCTCCTTATTACTTGTTCTTCATCTCTTCTCTTTATGTGACCTAACCACTTCAGCCTCGTTTTTCTTGTCTTTTTCTCGATTCCACGACTCCTGCCCTTTTTCTTAGTTTCCTATTCGTTCTCTTCTCTTTCATCGAAACTCCAAACAGCCATCTCAACATTCTCATTTCTGTTCATATCAAGAAGCCTTCTTTCTTCTTCAGAGTCCAAGTCTTGACTCTGTAGAGGAGCATTTGTCTAATCATAGTCATACACAGTTTGTTTTTCAGTGTCCTTGGTAACCTTTTGTCATAGATGACTGTGGTTACTTCCTTCCATTTATTCCAACCCGCCAGGATTCTATTTCTCACAACTTTCTAACTTCCTCCTTCACTTTGGGTTGTACTTCCCAAACATGTAAGGTCTTCTATCTGTTCCAGCGGCTTCCCGTTTATATCTGTGGTCTTAACCTTCTTATTCCTATATCTTCCACTCACCACGAGTTCAGTTTTCTAGCATTCACTTTCAATCCTCTTTTTTCCAAAATCTTCTGCCACACTTTAACTCATGTTTGTAGTTCCTTCTCAGGACAAGGTCGCCAGCGAAAAATAGCTCTCTCAGGGATCCCATGCGGCACTTCTTATTCTAGAAGTCAATTAAAATGACGAACAGCAGGGGATTAATGGCTGACCCTTGGTGCATCCCAATGTTTACTTCAAACTTGTCCACTTCTCGATGTACCATCTACACGATTTTTCCTTCATAAGTGGCTCTCACTAGTCTGGTCAGCTTTGCATGAACTTCTGTATTTCGGAGGCATCAATATACTAATTCTCATGGTACCCAATCTACAAGTGCATGGTATAACTTCTTGTTTCCTTCAAGGGGTACTTCTGGAACTGTCGCAGAATGAAGATTGCATCTATTGTTCCTCTCCCAGATCGAAATCCAAACTGTATTTCATCGATGTCTGTGACTTCCCATATTCTCATTTCCAGTACCTTTTCTTTCACTTTCAGTAGATATTCCACTAGTTTTATTCCTCTACAGTTTTCACACTCAAGAGGATCCCTTTCTGCATGTAGATATATATCAACAGGCACTCTCTCTGAATTCTACGAGTATCCGTTCTTTCATACATACATACATACTCAACTCCATCATCTTCTAGTGCCTTGACCATCTCAATGACAATCTTTGATGGACCTCCCTTATTATAAAACTTTTAACAAATCTGAAGACCTAAATAAAGGAAGTTAGAACTTTTCCGAAGATATCAGATGTCAGTAAATCTGCTGTAGGCCATAATCAGACGTCTGTAACTCCAGGTGCTAGTAACCTGAACAGAACATCACTTCTGAGATAAATATCCCTTTATCTGCTGCAGGCCATTATCAGTTATAAGTAAAACTGCTGTAGGCCATTAGCAGATATCAGTAAAGCTGTTGTAGGCCATTATCAGATATAAGTAAAGCTGTTGTAGGCCATTATCAGATATAAGTAAAGCTGCTGTAGGGAAAAAAAAGACTTCAAAGAATGGCATACAAAAAAGAGGCTAAAATAGTGGTAGTAGTGACGAAGAACGAGGCAACTAAACATTGGTATAAGAACATGGCGACACCAGAAGAGGAGAAGAAAGAACAAAAAATAGCCAAGCAAAGAGACATGGCAAAGAGAAACGTCAAAGGGATCAAAGTAATATAGGACAAAGATAGGAAGTTGCTGATAAATCAAAAGGCAGTAAAGCAGAGATAGAAACAACGATCTACTTAATACCAAAAATAAGACAGAAGAATTGGAGGAGACACCACCAATTGCAGGCCCAGTACTGGACGTCAGTAGAGCGGAGGTCAAAGAAGCAATCAGAAAAATGAAGATAGGCAAGGTTCATCTTCCTTAGAGCACCAGATCGGATTGTTTAGAAGTATTGTAATGGTCGTCTTCCTTAGAGCACCAGACATTTTAGCAAAAATGTAATAACTCCGGGTGTTTCGAGATTTTCTATTGTTGTTTTTCAATTGAAATAATTATGTTTTATTATAATGATCATCTTTATCTATATGATTAAAACGTACTCAATAATGTCTTTTAAGATAGTTAAGTTGAAGTTCCAGTAGTATTTTATTAACCTTTAGATACATCAGGAATATTATAATGATCTTTTATTTACGTCTCAAGAAAGCAACTTTCTAAAAAGCTCTCTACGTATCGGATTTGTTTGATTGTGATTTAAGTATTTTTGTCCTGAAGTTACAGATATATTCATAGTATTGTGATTTTAGCTAGTATTACAGATATTTTAGAACACATGTTATAAACACGTTTTTACAGATATTTCAATTGCATTTTAAAGATTTGTTAATGTAAGACAAGTGTTGCAGTTGGGTAGACTTGTACGCACATACCAGTTTTGTCGAACAAAATGATAGTTGTAGATGAAAACGCCCAAGTGCAAAAGATACTGCAAAGAACTTCTTCACTGAGCTTTGCAAGTATTAGAAGTGAATAAAAAAAGACATATTTACACACGGTATTTTTATCTCTAGTCAAATGTGTTTTGTTCATTCCAAACAAACTAAAGAAAGTCATCCTGATATCTGTAATTCTAGCTACAGTAGTTCATTCTCAAACCACGAGGGGAATTTCAAGTTGCCCCCCAGTGGCACAGCGGTATGTCTGCGGACTTACAACGCTAGAATCCAGGTTTCGATACCTGTGGTGGGCAAAGCACAGATAGCCCATTGTGTAGCTTTGTGCTTAATTACAAACAAACAAACAAACAAACAATTTCAAATTATTGTTAAAAAGACCACAATACTTACAACTAACTGCTTTAGTTACACTTACAAACTTTTAGTAATATTTTGATTAGTCATTTAAACTAGACTTACGAATACAGGGTTATCATGAAAAAATAAAAAAAATAAAACCACTTGTCTTAGAAATACAAAATGTGGCATATGGGACATTGATAAATTTGTTTTCTTGAAAATTTTAAAAATATATTCAACCAAAATGCATACAAGTTTCCAAATACTGAAACAATACTCGAATTCTTCAGTTTTTTCACTTATTTGTTATTTTTCTACCGGTTTTGTGACTTCAAAGGCCACTCTTCAGGATGTAATTTTACAGATTATCTGTAATGAAAACATTCAAATATCACTTTACAACTAAACATAAATAAACTGATCTAAATAAACATATTCCATATATGTTTATATCTTTGATTATATCACAAATTATTTCAGGTGGACCGTTATCTTGAACTCTGTCTCACCAACGTTCATTCACCAGCTTTGACATTTCCGAAACCAGATTGTGAAGGATATCTCAGAAGACTCGGGAGCAGATGGAAACGAAGATATTTCCTTTTAAAAGATGGCTCCCTGTATCTCTATCTAGACCGAAGTTCCCCAGCTGCAACAGGTTGGTTTAAGTAAAAGGTTCAATGTTCGTTTAACATAGACTGTTTTTGTTTGTTTGTTGTTGTTTTTTGGGGGAGGGAGTTCCACCGCTATCTTCGTGTGACTGTTGAGTAGTCGATAAACGTAAACTGTTTCTGTGTTCTCCTGTTTAGCTAAAAACAAAATGCAGAATTACTGTTCTGTATTCTTCTGGCTTATTTATTATCCACAGCTAGGCACAAACCGTCCGGTATGAATACAGTAACACAGATATTATCAATATCAAGTGTGAATACGAAAACATAGGTATTTTGAAAAAACTTCTGGTATTAACACAGAAACTCGGATATCTTATATTAACTCAGCTTGTTGCTTTGTAAATACGTCCAGTTAACCCCCCCCCTCCGCAACTACAACTACAACTAGCAGGACCAAACCTGGCAGGTGGCCCAGGAGAACATTTTATTTACACTGGCTGGTCAGTTTATTATGGCCTATGCCCAATAACGATTTGTACCACCCCTTGCTCGAATAATAGTTATGATGCGACATGGTATAGAATCCACAAGATGGCGAAAGGTGTGTTGAATAATTTTATACCCAATCAGTCATTAACATTGTACGCAATTCATGGAGTGGGGTAGGCTGAGGATAATGAGGGTGAATTTATCTTTCAAGTTCATCCCACAGATGCTTAATTGGATTGAGATGGTGGCCATGGGAGATACCTGAGGTCTCCACAATGTTCCTCAAAACCACTATTTGAGTTCTGTGGATGGAAACATTGTTATCTTGAAAGTCATCGTTCACATCAGGGTACACATGAAGCATCACTTGATGCTCGTGATCAGAAATTATGCTGAGGTAAGATTTTGAATTTCGTTCTTCCTTCTAAAGGGACCAAACGGCCTAGGATATATCAGAAAAAAAAACACACCAAAAACAATGCTCCAAGCCATGACTCCACCACCAAAGGTCTGAAATGTTGGTATTACACAAGGGGGGGGGGGTAAGTTATTATTGTGTCTTTTCTAAATCTGTCTTCTCTTGTGCAAAACTAGAGTAAAGCACGATTCACTGGGCTACATCATCTTTTGCCAGCTCTTATTATTCCAATTTCTGTACTTTGTACACCACTAAAGTCCAGTTGCTTATACAATAACCTTCTACTGCCATAGTCCATTTGTTGCGGCGTTTTTTTTTACAAAGTACGGCTGGAAATGGGCTTGGATTTCTTTGCATTGAATGTCTATAGTTTTATGACGGTCGGACTTTACCATCTTGTCTGACCGCTTTTCTTCCCTTTCTTTCTTTACGTGCTTGTGTCCACAATTTCTCCTCACAGAAAATATTTTATTTGCCTTTTGCTCGAATGTTCGATGTTTTGAAGAAGCCTACCAAAGAAACTGTCTTGGTACACCTACTAGACATACACCCACTATCATGTTAGACTGACAGGAAATGTTATTTTGTACTTTATTAGTTAAAAGGTGTTGTTTATAATAACTGGCATCAATTGCAAATAAATGAAAGTTTGAATGGTGATGATGACAGTGTAGACTGCACTCTATAGTAGAACAAAAAAAAAACTTGAATTTTAGTGCAACTATATCAATATAAATAATAATGCTGCAAGGATCACTTTACACATCATGTGATCAACTTACTTTGTATCAGTAGTTCAGGTCAGGCCCAGGTCTAAAGGGATACATAGATCCCAACAATGTGGCCAGCCAGGATATATTGCATAGTCCCCATTAGTCATCTCCTGTTGGTCACTCAGGCATGATGGGGGTCTAAGAGCTGGTTTTCAGGGTCGTTGAACCCGAATCTGATATGAGATTTTGTGTTCTTTGTCCCCCTCGAAATCCCTTGGATGCCATGTTTGAAACAGTATTCATACTCCTACTCACAAGCTAGCGAGAATACACATGGTACACGTGCTTAAGTACCATTGATGGGTGTCCTAATGGGCTTTTTTCGGGTACAGACTCTCATCGTTCGGATAACTCTAGTTCACCAAGATGAGCTAAAAATGCGTCTTGAGGGCCATCTATGCAATTAGGTCTAGAAGTAGATTTCCAGGTTGCTGAACTCGAATCTAGCAAAATGTTTTCTATTCCTGGCCCTGCGAATCATGGTGATGCCTTTGAAGACCGTAGCGACACTATTAAAGAATTTTATATCAAATGAATGTTGAAATGTAACTTTACATACAATATACATAAAACTATCACTAAATACTGTTCCTGTAAAAGACTAGGCTAACCTTAGTTCTCTGTAGTTTTCAGAACTCACCCATATGTATCTCTAGGCCAAAGTTACGCCGTAAGAACAAACGTCAGTTCAGTGGTATTCTGTAATCTTATGGGTTGTCCCTTAGCTACATCTAAACCCAAATTATTCGGTATAGATGCAAAACGTACAAAAGGTCAAATCTTAGATATTTGTATTTTTTATTATAAAAGCTGTAGAAAGCTCTGGTTCTAAACGATATTCACATGAAAAGAACCTGATAACTGATGATTCTTTGTGAGAGAATATTGTATGTAAGGCCTCTAACTAATTGTTGTTTATGAGAGAATTATATTTGTTGAACCTGAAAACTAATGGTTATGTGCGAGAAAGGGTTATGTGTGAAAACGTGTTGCCTTGAGAACCCGGAAACTAAGATTGTGTCTCAGAAAATGTTGTTTGTAGGCCTTTTGTTTAAAAAAAGATGTTTGCAGGACCATATAACTAATGATTTTGTATCAGAATGTTATGTTTGTAGAGACT